TTTCGTACGTTTTTGACGTTTTTTTTTGTCGTATTTCGTCATATTTTTACTTCTTGCCGCGAGACAAAATATCCTTGCGCATGTGTATCTTACGCACCATTCAATAACATGGAATTTAACATACAATTAACCCTGACCCTAACCCTAAGATAGAAAACAGCAAGCAACCTAGTGAGAGACATCAAGAAGTAATTATTGCACTGTTTTTCCCAGTTTTACGTCCGTCCGCGGATCTGCTTTTTTCGTCTGTCTGGCTGCGCATGCGCACTGATCTGTTTTTTCAAGGAAAACGTCAAAATGTACAAAATACTGTGCATCACTTTTCGTACGATTTCATACGAACTGATAATGAGAATATGTTGGAATTCTGGGATGGAACTCAGTGGTACAGTAAATAATGATATTATTTAATTGGGATTGACTGAAAAAATGTGATTGACAGATGACCGTTGATATATGATTGGCCGAATTTAGGTGTACAAGCTGATGTATAACTAACTGGCCCGCAAAACACAGATTTTAAGACTGGATTTTTTTTTTTCTCAATTTCGGGACAATATTGTCTGATAAAAAGTACATTTATATACATGTTTAAGCCATTTAAATATAATTTCCCTACGACTTTAACAAATCTGTATGAGTCAATCCCAACTGCTATCCCCTGATTAGCAGTCTGTTGACCTTTCTATTTGTTTTATGAAATATAATGTGTTTTTATGACTTTACACCAAAATAAAAAAAAATCTACAAAACTGAAAAATATCTGTCTGTTTGTAATAAATACGAGCTTCAGATTTTGAACATTAATAATAAACGTACTATTAGGTTTTATTCTATTGTATTAAGATGGATGTCTGTCTCTGTGTGTGTTTATGCCTGTGAAGACAGTGTTTGAATGGGAAATGCGAGAAATTAGAATAATTATAATTTAGAAAGCAAGTAGGACGAACGTGAACTGAAAAGTAATTGTGTGATTTTAACCAAATCTGTCGCCTCTTTGCAATTTATTCCTGGAGTTTAACTTGTTGTAATTTAGATGAAATAATCCCCTTGACTCCTGTTGTTGCACATTAGTGCACTAAATCATTGTGACTAACTTCTCTCCCCCCCTCCCGGACACGCTCAGGGAGCGCAGCGCGCCTGACAAAATACTCCCCCATCACCGCCTGCAGCCTCAGCTCAGTGCTGGAGAGGAGCTGCCTGCGCTTTACTCTCTCCTCTCTGTGTTTTTTCCTATAATCTCTGTCAGACAGCATCCTTTAGAGAGCGCACTGAGTCCTGGCTCATTCATCCTGACCACGGTGGGACCCATGTTGAGTGTGCGCACCGGCGTTTCCAGAAAATGTGCCCGTCCCCTGGATCCAAGCCGAGCCCGGGTTCTCTCACCGAAGCTGGGAAACTCTTCCTGAAACACACCACCCTGCACGGCTTGAGGCACATCTTCCTCAGCGGCTCATACCCGCGGAGAGTTGCGTGGCTGCTGGCGTTCCTGGCGGCCGTGGCTCTGTTCTTCACCTGGTCCTCCAACAGAGTGCGGTACCTCCTGACTTCGCCCATGTACACCAAGGCGCACATGGTTTACGCCAAGCGGCTGGTTTTCCCCGCCGTCACCATCTGCAACCAGAACCTGCTGCTGCCTCGGCGCATGAAGAAAACAGACATCTTCAGCTCTGGGAGGTGGCTGGGCTTGTTGGAGAAGGAGCCTGACTCCCCCAACCTGCAGGTCTCCCCCGCTGCCAAAGAGGCGCTTCTGACTCTGCTGGGGGACGGCGCGGGGAGCGCAGGGAGCGAGCCGCCCTGGCTTTCACGGATTTTGGACTTTAAAAACTTCCTCCCTCCTCCTTTGGAGTCTCAACCCAGCATGAAGCAGCTGCTCGACCGACTGGGACATCAGCTGGAGGAGATGCTGCTGTACTGTCGCTACCAGGGAGAGCTGTGCGGGCCGCGTAATTTCAGCACCGTGAGTGTGTCTCCAAAGTCCCTCACCTTCCCAACAGGTTGATGAAGGTTTTAGAAGAATTTCTTTACTTTGCATCGTTCAGAATTCATGACCAAGATGTGTCCAAAGAATATTTTGATGTGAAAATCAGCAGATTCTCCAGTCCTGCTGTTTTTAAATGCTTTTTATGGTTATTATGAGTGCAATCCAAACTTAGACTGCTTTGAATGGCTTCTTGAAATTTGTATTGAATTCATCTTTTTTATACTTGGATCTGTTCATATATTTCCTGTCATTCTTAAAGATGAATATATTTTACTTTGAGGTGATTGACACACCACTGTAGATGTAATGTTCCCTGTCAGGATCAATCTGTGTACAAACATGTGCTCACAGGAGACCAATCCCCCCATTATGAAGAGTTTTGATTCATTTAGCAATGCATTGCAACATTCCCTGACAGCATGATAGAGTGCAGTTAGTTAGAGTGCAGCCTCATTGATTTCATTTCATTATGTGAAAACGATGTAAAGCCAGTGCCACCCCCCCTCACCCACCACGTTACAGCAAACTTTCTTTCTTTCTTTCTGGGAAGACTTTTGAAACATGGCTTTTTATCTGCAGGATTATTTGTGGAAGAACATGTTAAGATTGAAGCTGCTCTTCATTCCATCTTTTTGTTGTCAGACTGAGCTCCAAAGCTGGATCATGAGGTTGTTACAGCTCACAAAGGAAGCTATCTCAATCAAAAACATTCCTCCTTGACTAAATATTTAGGAATACTTTTTTTTTTTGCTTTTCAAAGTCACCATAGGAATGGCAAAGCCTTCAGATATAAACATATAGTCTGAAAAAGTCTGGGATGTTGATGTGTGCTGCTGCAAAGATAATGGATGATTCCCTCCATGGCTTCGAGGGAAGCGAATGAATCCGTTTAAAGAGGCCAGACCAAAGGAGTCGGTAACTTTTAAGAGCTGAGGTCTAAAAGATGATGCAGAGCCTGTCCGTTTACAACGGGTGGCTGAATATAAAGATTTTTACTTATTTTTTTGTGACTTTCATGTTGCAGCGTAGCCTATCTTTAAAAGCTCCATGGTCTGCTGGCTGTATCTTATGCCTGTGTCATTTTTCGCCCTCGATTTTACCAACACACATGCTTGATCCTCATCTGGAACTCCTCACTTTGCTCCCGCAGGGCTACATCATTGGTTTTAAGTGAGAAATCAACCCTAAACATCCTGTCAAGCAGCCTATGTCCCTCATGCTAACCCCCCATTGATTGATAACTTGCCTCTGACTTTTTAAATCTCTCATGTTTCAGCCAGTAGTCATTGAGGTGTTAATGCATATGAAATATTCTGAGCTGCTCTTTCAAAATGATGCAGGCAGGAATGTTGTTTGCTCTTTTTGTTGATCTTACATAAGCAGCGTTTCAGACATTTAAAAAAGCGACTCGGAGGATTCTTTTATAACTTTGCAGCCAACATATTCTCAAAGTGGTAAGCAGGTTGGTGGCTTGGTGATATCGACCCATCTTCTCTATGCAAGAATCCAGATTTTCATTTCTTCAATATTTTTTGTCCTTTCTGTGCTATTTTTGTCGGCTTTGTTCTTTGTTGTTTTCGACCTTTGTGGGTTTTTGTTGGGTTCCGGACAGGTGCTGTGCACTCAGTGTTTTACATGGACACAGATGTCTGCTGATTCTAGAAAAGATGCTTTTGTGAGTTGTGGCGCCGTACCAAAACAGTTTAGTTTCAAGCAGTTAAACAAATATGGCCAGTTTGTCATGGAAATGACTTTTTCATTTTCCCTCCTGCACTATTTACAACCACAATAATATGCAAACAGTAAGTGCTTTTTTTCAAGGCAGATTACAGCTGGTGACTCTTTATATAAATGTGAGCATTAGTCCTGGTATCTGTTAAAACCTCTTGAACTGCACTTTTATTTTTTTTTTAGCAGATGTTTTATTTGCTCTGTTATTATTTATATTAAATTGGCTTTAATGTCTAAAGATCATTAACCAGCTGAATTTAATCAAATTTAGTCAGAAATTAACACTGAGAATAGATGAATAGAAAGAAAAGAGCTTAAAGATGGCCATAGGCTCAGGGAGTTGGAGACTTCCACTCTAGTCACCCTTGAGTTACAAAATTAAAAGACTTTGATTGAACTTTAACTCATGCCCTACAGACTCCAGCTTTGATTGGGGCTCCTATTCTAAAACTTAAATCTAATTAACAGTTCTTATCTGAGGTACTGAGGAGTTAACGGTAGCTGTTATGAGAACTTCACCAAGTCGATGTGCTGCTGCTCATCTTTTACTTTGAAAGGGATAATTATTCGCCAGTAAAGATGGAGGATTGTGGAAGTTTATTGGCTTATAACAATCTTTTTGTGTTAGCTTTAGCACATGAATGTGGCTTTGAATGAACTCTAAATCATTTTGGGTCACAGATAAATATCGCTTACGTATAACGTCACTTTGATTGTCTAAATAAGGAAATAAATTACGGTACATTACTGGTTAAAAATATTAAAAATAATAGTAATTTATGTTCAATTTATACAAAAAAATCAAAAATAATAGTTAATTTGTTTACCTTTTCTTTATCATTTATTTTGTTGTTAATTCTAGTCTAGAATTTGAATGTCTTTATTTATACTTTAAAAATGTTTTTTTATATTTCCAGTTTTGCAGATATTATTTCAATACTTTATTTTTTTAAATTACAAAAATATCGCATATCAGTTTTTAGCCTTGTAAATTACAGGTCAGATACTTAAAACATAACTGTTGATAAAGATTAAGTGATTAAAGACAGGTCTTAAATGCAGTAATTTAGTTCTCGATGACAAACAGCTTAGGTTTATTTGGACAAATAAATGATTACATGTTGCTTATGTGAACAAATGAATACAGTACATTTGTCTTGTGTGCTGATGTTTACGATTTCAAGCATTTTATTTGCAGGTGAGAATATTTTTTTCCCTAGGAGGTATTTGCATTGCAGCATTTTTTTTAGTAGTCTTTAACAAGTGCATCAAACAAGATCTTTTTGATAGATTAAGAAATATTTACATGACACATATGGGCAACTTAAATCATGCATATTTATGTTCTAGGAAGCAGAGTGAACAGATGTTTCAGCTTCCTGATGTAATGTTTTTCATTCTCAGTGCAGTGGGGATGGTTCAATAGTTAGAATGAGTGTCTTGCAGCAGGAGGGTCCCAGGTTGGAAACCCATTTAGGTTTCTTTACAACTCTGGATGCTCTAAGCTGTTTTGCACTTAACATAAATATGCATGTTTAGTTAATGAGCGACTCTATTGAATTTGGCTCTGGCTGGTTGCGTGGTTGTTTGATCTGTGTGGCTGCCCGTTAGCCTTGTGATGGATTGGAAACCTGTTCAGTTCTGGCAGGTGGGATGCTGGCCATGCACATCAGACCATGCACCACTTATAAAAGGCACGGGTGCGTGCTCTAACCCCTCCTCTACCACCTGCATTGTGATTTGGCATCGTCATGAATTGATTGTAGGTTGATGAAAATCATTGGGCGGTGAAGGTAAAAGGGACTTATCATCACAGTTCAAATACATCCTGGAGAAACAAGCATTTTATCTTGGAGTGGAGAATAGATATTTGCCAAGGGACAAATACAGTTTAGTGGAGATCAGTGATGGTCGTCCAAATTCCTAGAAAAAAATTTAACTCCAAAAAACTATCAGGATGAAGCTACAAGTCTCATTTAGTAAAAATTATTCATATTTCCTTATTCTATTTAAAAGTTGTTGATCACAAAATGAAGAAAAAAAAATCACCTGTGAAAAGCAACACTGGCACTGCACTGAGATGGAAAATGCAAGTGGGTTAAAATAGAAATAAAAATTAATAAATGAACTTAATTGATCTGATTGAGAAATTTAACCCTTCCCCTTCCGGAGCAGTGGGCTGCCATTGTGCGGCACCCGGGGAGCAGTGTGGGGATAAAGAGCGTTGCTCAGGGACCCAGAGTGGCAGTCTGTGAGAGTGTGGTTTCAACTCAGACCCTCTGGATTTCAAGCTCTATACCACCAGGCCGCCACTCACCACTGTTATTTTCCCAAATATTAATTTAGTGGTCCGAATATTAAGTGTAACAGGAAAGAAAACATTCTTTTAAATAGCCAATATGATTTTAGGTTACGGATGTAACATATCTGTGGAAATGAGATCCTTTGAACTACATGAAAAAAAATTTTTTTTAATTCATCTTAAGTCTAAATTCAAATTTTAGAGAAGATGGCTGTAAAATAAGAACAAATGTACATTCTCACATTGAATGAACTGTCCGTGCTGAGCTTGTAGTTTCAGGGATCCTAACTGAAAGATTAGGATTGTTTTCCATGAATCCACCAAACTAATCTGTCTCCGCCATCTTGTTCTCTTCCCAATTTTTACAAATAGATATGAGATTGAAATTGAGAGTGATTGGCAAATTGGAAAGGAGTTTTTACACGTGATAACCAACACCTACTTAATTTTTTTATTGATAGCTAAGCTAATTGCTGCATTTTTTTTATTTTAGCAAACAAAATCTATTCTGCTTGATATGTTTGAAACATTATTCTCAATAAATAAGAACATTCTTTCTATTTACCAATATAATTACTATTTTTTTAACCAAAAAAATACAGATTTTCTAAACCTTTTTTTCAGGATCTCCCCTGTGTTCTTTCTGATGTCAACAAGTCAGCATCAGAAAAGACACAACAAAGGTATTGTAACTGAGCCTAATGTTAAATATATAAAATAAATTTGTACCAAACCACATTTACTGCCAGAAAATCCAAGATTAGAACAACAGTTGCTGGTTTGACGGATATTTGTTGTTTCAATTGTTGTTGTCCAATTACTCTCAATATTTAATTGCTTTCCTTTATTCTCTCCAGCATCTAATTAGCCGTGGCTCTTTTGGTCTGATTTGCACAAAGTTAAAATTAGGTTACTTTTCCCCTCATAACTGAAACACATTGTTTTTCTAAAGAACAATTTACATTTTTAAGGCATGCCGAGGATC